ACACACTCTCTCTCTCTCACACACACACACACACACACTCTCTCTCTCTCTCTCTCACACACACACACACACGCTTTCTCTCTCTCTCTCTCACACTCTCTCTCTCTCTCTCACACACACAGACACACACGCACACACACAAACACAGACACAATCACAGACACACACAAGTCCAAGTTCACGTTTATTTATTAAAGCACATTTAAAAACAACAAGTGTGGAACCAAAGTGCTGTACAATTTATAAACATTATTAAACAATATAAAAAGCAAAAACAAATAAATAAAAACTCATAGGATACAAATAAAAGCATGCAAGATAAACCATAAACAAATATGTAACCCCAATATTATCAGGCAACACCATAGGCTAAAGAGAACAAATGAGTCTTCAATCTAGATTTAAAAGTATCCAACGTGGGAGAGGATCTCACGGCAACTGGAAATGTATGAAGGTAAAATAATGCCTATAAGATTTGCATAAGCAGGGTAAGAGTTGTGGAAGTGTACATAAGACTGTAAGCGTAAATTTAATTTTGCATGCGCAAGAGAAGCTTTGTAAAGGTGTAAATCATGTTTCAAGCGTAAGAAGCATTACGTTTCGCGCCATTCATAAAAATATGGATTCTGAGGACGAAATAGTTTTCTTTGTGGCAGGCGGCTTTTGGCGGCCCAAAAAAAAAAAAAAACGAAGACAAAGGACATGGCAAAGAGAATGGCTGAAAAGCATGGACTTCTGTTCTTCATAACGAACTCGAGGGAGTAGGCCATTTCTGAATTTCTGCTCGTTTTGCCGGAAATACAACAGGCATATTCATTCATAAAGCTGAACGGCAAATTTGGCACATTCGGAATAACAAATAAAAAATAGAACTGTATAATTAAACTAAAATGATTATAGACTATATGGTTTTTGTCATCTTCTGATTGGTCAACTTCAGATGGATCGCCAAATCGTCAACCGCACATACGCCACGAATCGACAGCATTCGATTTTTTTTTTTTACATGTTTGAAAATTATCGGGAGGACGGGAGGTGCTCGTAACATCTCGGATACTTTATATATAAAGTATGAACACATAGCCTAATGGTAAACATCATATTTTAATTAAGTTGTTAGATATATTTTTTTATGTATGTGTACATTAAAAGTACCATTCCGGCAGCAAGAACGATCCTGAACTAAATGAAGATTAATATTTTGGCTTGTGATTACGAGTACGAGTTTTTCTTACGCTTGAAACACGATTTACACCTTTGCAAAGCTTCTCTTGCGCATGCAAATTTAATTTACGCTTACAGTCTTATGTACACTTCCACAACTCTTACCCTGCTTATGTAAATCTTTTAGGCATTATTTTACCTTTATAGAAGTGCATTCCACTGTGTAGGTGCCGCAACTGCAAAAGCTTAGTCACCCTTAATATTTAAACGGGGCACTCACACACACACGCACGCACACATACACACGCGCTCACACACACACACACACACACACACACAGGGTTTGAGATGATAAATCAGTATGTGGTAGTTGATGCACTGTTAGACTGTCTGGCTGTGAATTGTTAGTGGAACGTGCTTATAGTAGATGTAAATGATGGTTCCTCTGTCTGGACACCTTTGTGAATGTCATATGTCCACTAAAACCACCAAACAACAGCTGTTTCAAACACACTGCAAATAAAGTTAGTTCTGAGAGAAGCATGTGAGCAATGATGCTACTTTGATATTTAGTTTTTTTGATGCAGTCAGTCACAGAGGCATTTATAAGCATGAGTTAAGTGTGCTCTCTGAGGCCTGTGTGTGTGTGTGTGTGAGAGAGAGAGAGTTTGTGTGTGTGTGTGTGTGTGTGTGTGTGTGTGTGAGAGAGAGAGAGTGTGAGTGTGTGTGTGTGTGTGAGAGAGAGAGTTTGTGTGTGTGTGTGTGTGAGATGAGGATTTTACTGTCATTAAGAGTGATAGGAGAGACATGACACCAGCACAGTTTCCTGGGACAAGCACTCTATTATAGAGTTCAGCGTTTTATACTCCAGTGTTTGACAGCAGAATCATGTGACCGATCAGAATGCAGTGTTGCAGAGAGTGATTGATGAATATAGACAGATTTCAGATGGCTAATGAATGTGTGTGTGTGTGTGTGTGTGTGTGTGTGTGTGTGTGACAGGAGCTGTAATCCGCGCATAGGGGACATCCTGCAGAAGCTGGCCCCGTTCCTGAAGATGTACGGCGAGTATGTGAAGAACTTCGATCGTGCCATGGAGCTGGTGAGCACGTGGACGCAGCGCTCCGCTCAGTTCAAGAGCGTGGTCCAGAACATCCAGGTCAGAGCCGGCTGACATGATATGATGTGTGTGATGTGCAGTGTTGGGGGAACGCATTACAAGAGTTACGTAATCAGATTGCTTTTAAGTAACTAGTAAAGTAACGCATTACTTTTTAATTTAGAAGGAAATATCAGAGTTACTTTTTAAAATAAGTAACAGCAGTTACTTTGTTTCCATGTATTGAGTGACAGCTCTGGTGTTGCCACGGTGACAGAAATCAGGAGTCAGTGCAGAGCGTTGTGTGTGAACATGATCTTACTGTAGATCTAGACTAAATATCAACATGTGTTTACTCATCTCACTGCACACAAACACATTCAGTGTTCCTCTAAATCAATAAAAACAGTTAAAGGCAAGCTCAGAATATTATGCAAACCTGCAATAATTAAATGTTAAATAAGACAAATATCATTTATGCATTTAATCCCATTTTATTAACCAGTGTCTTTGCTACTGACCTTCGATGATCCAATTCAACCATAATATAAGCAAAAATAACACTTTTGTGTTTCATTTGTGTTATTGCTGAATAGTGCTGAACTTTCTTCTCCTGCGTCATATTCTTCATGCAGTTTGTTTGAGCGGCGCCCTCTACTGTACAGACGTGAATTTACATTTCCTTCAGCCTGAGGCGCATTCATTTCACTTCTGTTGTGAAAGGGCTTTTACGTTTGTAAAAGAAGAACTGTTTATAATAAAAACAAACAAGCAAGCCCTGCCCAGATTTGCAAAGTAACTCAAAAGTAACGTAACTCATTACTTTCCATAAAAAGTAACTAAGTAACGTAATTAGTAACTTTTTTTTAGGGAGTAACGCAATACTGTAATGCATTACTTTTAAAAGTAACTTTCCACAACACTGGTTTTGATTAACACCATTAACAGAAAAAGTGTCCTGTGTTAATGTATCGTGTAGCGCAGCGGCTCAGGGCGCAGACTGCACAGCAAGCAGTGACCTAACACAGCAGCAAGTGTGCATTGAAAAAAACTGAACTGTCATGCTTTCATACTCCCAAAACTCAAGAAAGATGACCAGCGAGACCAATAATTAATTGCAGTTTAGTTTATCCTCATCGCTCATACTGACGTTAAGCTTCTGTAGTTTCGTTTAAGGGTTTTACTTTAAGGGATTAAACTTTACACTTTTAAGGAGGCCTTGAGAGACTTTTAAGACGACTAGAACCTAGAGGTCAAGTTCACACTTCAGAGCATCAAATCAGCTAAATGAGCTAAACTAAAAAGCTTTATAGCCAAACATTCATCTAACTCATATGAGGAACTAGTAATTCAGCTACATCGGTCAGATCTGCCAAAATCACACCGAGTGCCCCAAATCATGTCCAGCCGATGATCCAGATCACTTTGTCAACCACTAGGACCTGAAGACATCAAACCACTAACAATATAATTGCTCTTACATGTACTTTAGAAGTTCTATAATGTCATGATTTCATCTGACTGAAATCATACCAGCCGTGTTTTTGCAAAGTGAACAAACAGAACTAGATAATGCCACTGTAGTCTAGTTTTGGGCTAGATGTGTACACAATCAGACTACAGTCAGGCCTGGTGTGTTTTCTGAGAAACAGAGGTGACGCTTGTATTCATTTAATCCTTTAAGTATTCAATTACAGTGAGGACTGTAACTCAACCACAGTTACGCCACTGTAATGCACATGCTTAGTGTCTCTGGAGTGTGCCTTCACGTTAATGGGTTAAATACAGTTTACTGAAGACTAGCAGACTACACTGCCGTGTGCTCAGTAGTGTTCATTTTGTCAGCCATTTTTAATTGAGTCTTAGTCTGGTCTCAAATGTACCTTTTAGTTATGATGATATTTAGTCAACCTTGTCCTGTTAGGGTTAGGTTAGGTTAGGGTTAGGGTTTAAGTCAATGAAATGTTTGTTTTCTCAGATCATTATCGGCGCTTCTGCAATGAAGAATTGCAAAATTAAGCAAAACACCGAGTGTATCCGTTTAACAGAGAAGCTCTGATTTGGGGATTTGAACTCTTGATATCTGGCAACCGCACACAAGAAAGCTTGCGTAGTAGAGGCGATTACAACAGTCCGCAATAATATTTTGTCTCCTTTTTAGATTAAAAATAGATTTTTGTTTAGTTTTTATTTTTTACAATACGTTTTAGTGTTGTCTTTTATTGTCAATGATATTGCATGTTGATATAGTCACAGTTATTGTTTACTGTCTCGTTTTAGTCAGATTTGCAAAGTAACTCAAAAGTAACGTAACGCATTACTTTCCATAAAAAGTAACTAAGTAGTTTTTTAGGAAGTAACACAATATTGTAATGCATCACTTTTAAAAGTAACTTTCCCCAACACTGGCGATGTCTGATAAACCGCAGACTGTTCTCTGAACGTGTGTGTGTGTGCGTGTGCAGAAGCAGGAGGTGTGTGGGAACCTGACGCTGCAGCATCACATGCTGGAGCCGGTGCAGCGGATCCCGCGCTATGAGCTCTTACTGAAGGACTATCTGAAGAAGCTGCCCGCCAGTGCTGCAGACCGCAGAGACGCGCAGAGTGAGCTCACACTGTTCAAACACAGACTACTTACATTTACATTTACATTTCAGCTACTTATACATTAATATACGCCATTACAATGTGGAAAGTCTAAAATCCTGAGGATAATAATAAGAGCTAATATAGAAATATAGGTACATTTTTATTGATCTGTTTGTTTAATATATTTAGATTTATTATTATATAAATTATATCACAAATTTGATTGCTCCTGGACAGCAAAGTAGTGTAAATCTATTATTGATTTATCAGGGGATTTAAATAAATTAACACATAATTTTAATATTATTTAAAACATAATGGTATGTTGCAATAAATAAATAAAAGGACGATAAAACTGTAAATATTAATAGGTGTGTGATGTGATAATTTATTAATGTCAAATGAAAAGGAACATGAAATGCCATGTAAAATATGCTTTAAAATGAAAAACCTTATAAAATGCACACATCTAAATAAATTGTGACAAAATTAATATATAATGAAATAATTAAATACATAATCAAATGTTCCAATCAATAAACACAAACATAATGAACAGTGAGCACAAATAATTAATTTGGAGGAATGTATTTATTTATGTACAATGAAAAACACCACCTGAAATACAAGATGATATACTGTACGCCCTGAAATAAAGAACAACATGAAATATACTCTGTCATTCCATAGTTTGGGGTCTGTATGATTTTTTTAGGGAAAGAAGTCTCTTTTGCTCACCAAGACTGCATTTATTTGATCAAAATACGGTAAAAACGGTCAAATATGATTTTCTCTGTGAATCTCTGTTAAACTGTAATGTATTTCTGTGATGCGCAGCTGTATTTTCAGCATCATTCCTCCAGTCTTCAGTGTCACATGATCTTCAGAAATCAGTATAATATGCTGATCTGCTGCTCGAGAAACATTTCTGATTATTATCAGTGTTGAACACAGTTAGGGATTATATTTTTGTGGAAACCGTGACACATTTTCTTTTTCAGGATTCACAGATGAATAGAAAGTTCATAAGAACAGCGTTTATTTGAAACAGAAATCTTGTGGGACATTATAAATGTCTTCACTGGCACTTTTGATCAGGTTAACGTGTCACTGATGAATAAAAGTGTTACTGACCCCGACCTGTAGATGGGTAGTGTACGGAAGTGCAAGCTCTGATGGTCAGGATGGCGGCTCTAAAGCAGTGTTTGAGGCTCATTATCTGAAGTGAAGGTGCAGTAATGATGTGTTCACTGGGCTCGTCCGCTGGTGTCCATGCGTGTCATCTTTATGAAATGCCATTGTGACGCACCACCACTGTTCACAAATGCTAATTGAGCTCGTTATAATCATAATGATGCTGCTGGCTGAGTCTGGACACGTGCAGCGCCGACGGCAGACACGTGCCGCTCTATTTCTGAGTTCAATGTATTTCTATAACTGAGTGTTATTTAAAAGCATTTTTCACGTGGCAATTCACATAATTTTTTAGTTAATATAAAAAATGTATATGTTCCACTTACACAAAACCAGTCATAAGGGTCAATTTTCTGAAATTGAGATGTATGCATTTTATAAACCTATTGATTGCAACATCCTTAATAATTACATTATATATTTTAGGGTGACCATGCGTGCCATTTTCCCTGGCCAGGATTTCTATATTGCCTAAAATATCTAGGTTTTGGCTTTGTTTGCGTGTGCAGACCGATCGGTGTATGGCATCAAAGTACCTCGAGAGCATTTTTAAAGCATGAGGAACCGTCTGTATGGTATTTTGATGTCATACACCTGTCGGTCTGCACACGCAAACAAAGCCAAAACCTAGATATTTTAGGCAATATAGAAATCCTGGCCATGACACGTCCTGGGAAACTGGCACGTATGGTCACCCTAATATATTTATTGGATTTGGCCTTTTATTCCTACCATATCTACTATATTTGTGTGTTTTTATGCACCACAGGGAGTTTTGAGAGAAGCGTGTGTTGTTTAGTGACAGTGTGTTCAAAAAGGGGCCTATGGGGCTGTTCACCACAGAATGTGTTTTTGCAAGCAAATGGGCTGTAGAATGAGAAAAATAAAGTTCTTAGCTGAACTTCTTTTAACTTGAGCGCCACATTTTTAAATGTTTCATGTGCAAGATGCTGCAAAAGATGCGAGAGCAGCGGTCAAACGCCTTACTGATTCCAAATTACATGACAAAAGTTGTAGTTAGTAACGTAATCCATTACTTTACTCATTTTAGGTAATATAATCAGACTACTTTTAGATTACTTTTGACCGAACTCTTTTTTCACATTGATTTAAATAGGATAATCTTCATAATCTAACATATCAATATAAAAATGCAAAGAAACAGAAAATATTTTCCATTTGTTGTAATTAACAACATGAAGTGCGTTAAACATTACATAACGTCAAGGTTTCCCAAACTGGAGTTCATAAGGCAACTGAGTGTGAGTTTAATGAAAAGCAAATAATGAATTAAATCATAAAAATTTTAAATAAAAAATAAAAACATATATTAAATATGTGCTATTTATTGTTTATTAATACTTTTTTACTGGTTTACCTATATGTCATGTGACCACTTACCAACACCAGTGAACTGTGAACATGTGAGTGTGTTGATAAATTACTATTAAGTCCCTCACGCTTTCACCATCAGCGGCAAACAGCGCTCGCTCGAGCTGCAGGCCAGGTGAACGCACAGCGAAAGTCCTGATGTTTCTCATCAATACATTCCCTCTGTCTTTGCTACTGAAGTTTCATTTAGAGCCACTTCAAACATCATGACATTCACTCTCACAAAGATCTTTAGGGCACTTGATATTGAAGGAGTATGCAGTGTTCACAATGTAGCTTAAGTGTACATAGAGAAATCCTCCTGTATGAACTCTTACCCACCGGGCCTGTGTGGAGTCTGATGTGTGTTCATGTCTGTGATTGACAGGACGGCTGAGGAGAAGGACGACTGGATAAAAGTGAGTCGAGCTCTTTGCAGAGAAATGACTGCTGGAAGACAGACACGCTTTAGCATACTGCCTTACTACAGAAATAGTATACTGAATATAATGTTTAGACACATAATTGCATGTTATTTATAATAAAATCAAATGTATTTTAGTTTAAATGACTATAAAATGCAATTAACTGAACAATAGAGAGATTTTTTTAACCCAAGTAGGACTAGGTACTGTACATATTTATGTTATTTCTTAATTGCTTCTATTGTCTTTGAAATATGGTTAAAGTACTGCTGAATGTACTGACAAGCATTTAAGGTCAAGTAAAATATACTATAATTCACTGTAATGTCATGTATTTACATTTTTTGTAATCACATATTTGTTATGATGAAGTTGCAACTTAATATCAAATAGCACACTAGTTAAAATTATAATTACTTATAATGCTATAATTAAGTACTTTACATGTGCTTTAGTATGCTAGTCAACACATCAGAATAAGTGCACTTCTTTAAAACACAACAGAAGATTATTAAGACATAATGATTTTTAATGTACTTTCAAGTAAAACTTAATATGACATTATTATTTAAAAGGGTACTTAAGTGTATTTAGAAACAGTCATGAAAGTGGCTGTCTTTAAGTCACTTAAATGACCTATTATTTTGTTAATTTTATATCATCTGCAAGCATATATATATATATATATATACTTTTTTTTAATATATTTTAAGTAAGTTAAGTTTAGGTACACTACAAGTGTACATTCAATACAGTTAAACACTTTTTTGACCAGGGTTTCTGGTGTCATTTTAGCACAACTGCAACTGTATTTCAATTGTTATTTTTATGCAATTCATATTTCAAGTCAGCATGAAAATATAATTGACTGCATCTAATGACATAAAAAAAAATTAGTTTCTTGACTCGTATTCGTATTCATATTGTGATCAATTCAGCTATTCACTTTATTCTAAAGAAGAAAACTGCTTAATTTCCCTCTGAAACGACTCTAAAGCCCTCTCATTAGACACTTTTCACCTTTCAGTCAACTCCCCATTAAGCCCGGGGAATACCGTACTGCACTCTCAGATGCGTCACTCTACAGAAGTACAGTGGGCTGTATGTGGATGTTTCATGTTGACGTGATAGCTCAGCCAAAAAATGAAAGCCCTGTCATGATTTGCGCACCCTCATCATTTTTCACTTTGCTCTGCGGAACACAAAAGGAGAAATGCACTCTAATTGCATATAATATCATGAAGAGGGACGTGAAAGCAACATAAAAGTATCGTAAGAGTAGTTCATGTGACTCATGCAATATACTGGAGATATTTGGAAGCTTTGTTTGTTTAGGTCAGTCTTCACTAAAAGTGTGTTCGTCAGAGCAGTGGAAACAAATGCTTCTTTAGAGTCAGTAAACTGTGATTCGGTTCACATCAATCTAACTGGTGCTCTGGGATCGAATGGTTTTTCAGTTGTGAGCAAATCTTCATCATCAGATCATCCTCATCTGTTTGTAGGTGATCCTGGCCACGATTGAGAAGCACAAGCAGAACAGCGAGACGTTCAGAGCTTTCAATGTCTCCTGCAGCCGTGATGAGGAGCACACGCCTGACACGCCGGTAACTCGTCCTTCACACGCTCAACGCTGCATCTGCTCCAAACTAGCCTAGTCCTGGCTCCTGCTCGTGGCACTGGAATTATGGAATTATTTAATTGGAATTATTAACATTTGGGAATTCTCTTTGGTTTTTGGAGTGAAATATGACATGGGCATGTTCATTGAGTGATCTAGTGGTCACACTTTAAAAGCAGGATCCTGTGTTACATCTCAAGTCTGGTGGCTTTGCTGTGTGTTTAATGGCCAGTATTTGATTTTGTGTTTTGATGGCAGGGCCTGTTGAGCAGCGCGAGCACATGTGAGACAGACGGAGCTCAGCATGAGAGGGTGAGACACACACACACACACACACACTCACACACACTCACTCACTCACACACACACACACACACACAACCAGAGGTGGACAGTAACTAAGTACATTTACTTGAGTATTGTACTTAAGTACACTTTTTGAGTAACTGTACTTTGACTCAAGTAATGCAGCTGTGTACTTTGTCCACCTCTGCACACCGTGGATCTGTATATGGGCTAGACATCACCGTGTTAACCTGTGTGTGTGTTTGATCTGTAGAAGAGCTCAAAGAAGCGAGAGAAGGAGAGAGAAACATGCAAAGGCTGCAGTGAGACCTTCCACTTCACCAAACGCAAACACCACTGCAAGAGCTGCGGCGCGGTACGTGAGTCGCACGCAGACAGGTTTAGTATGCAATGCTGTGCATCCTGACGTGTGGTGCTGTTCGTCTGCAGGCCGTCTGTGGGAAGTGTTCGAAGGTGTCGGAGAGCAGGAACATCCGCGTGTGTAAGCCATGTTTTGAAGGCCTGCAGGGAGCTGAAGGGACAGCAGGGGGCGGCACTGAGCCCAAGAGAAAACTCGAGGTAACATCAGCCTGACACTGTATTTTTTATTTTTTTTGTCCTACCTGTTTACCAGCATTTAAGAACGACTTGTAAGGCTGTGTGATAAATCAGTATATATTTATAATAATTATTATTATTTATTATTATTGCCAGTATTTATAAAAAATTCCATAATATCCTTAATAACATTTAAAATAATTTTGAATACATGCAGTTCTACGTGTCACTATGTAAATGAGCAGCTCAGTTTTCTCTGCTACACATACTAGTGCTCATCTGTGTCTCACTGTATGAGACACGAACACATGAACTTCATCTCCAGACTCACTTCAGCAGATTTACACCGTTTCATTTCAGATAAAATCACATACACACTGAAACTCAAAGATCTTCACCACAAAACAACATCAAAATAATATATACAGTATATACAGTACACACACACACATATATATATATATATATTTACATTTAGTCATTCAGCAGAAGCTTTTATCCAAAGCGACTTACAAATGAGGACAATGGAAGCTATTTTTTTATGATATAATAAATAAAAAGAAAACAGATAGAATAGAAAAAGAATAGAGCAAGCTAGTGTTAGAGGCCTTTTTTCATTTTTGTTAATTGTATAATAAATAAAAAGAAAACAAATAGAATACAAAAAGAATAGAGAAGCTAGTGTTCGTTTTTAAAAAAAGAGAAACAAGCAGTTAGTAAATGAATAAAGTGCAAGCCTAAAAGGGGCAGTTTTTTTTTTAAAGAATAGAATTAGAATAGAGAGTGCTAGAGTTAGAGGGTCAAATAAAGATGGAACAGATGTTGTTTTTAGTCATTTCTTGAAGATGGGTAAGGACTCAGCTGCTGGGATTGAGTTGGGCAGGTCATTCCACCAGGAGGGAACAGTTAATGTAAAAGTCTGTGAAAGTGATTTTGTGCCTCTTTGGGATGAACAATAAAGCGACGTTCACTTGCAGAACGCAAGCTTCTAGAGGCACATAAGTCTAAAGTAATGAATTTAGGTAAAGTTGTGCAGAGCCAGTGGTTTTGTAGGCAAACATTAATGCCTTGAATTTTATGTGAGTAGCTACTGGTAGCCAGTGCAAATTGATAAACAGAGGTGTGACGTGCATTCTTTTCGTCTCATTAAAAATTTATCTTGCTGCCGCTATCTGGATTAATTGTAAAGGTTTGATAGAAGTGGCTGGAAGACCTGCCAAGAGAGCATTACAATAGTCCAGCCTGGACAGAACAAGAGCTTGAACAAGGAGTTGTGTTGCATGTTCCGAAAGAAAGGGCCTGATCTTCCTAATGTTGTATAAAGCAAATCTGCAGGACCGGGTTTAGTCGTGTTTTCAGTTTTAGAAATGTGGTCTGAGAAATTCAGCTTATCATCAATCACAACTCCACGGTTTCTAGCTGTTTTTGAAGGAGTTATGGTTGATG